CGGAAGGGCGGCAGCGCAGGGGGCAGGGGCACCTGGGGCGGGGGGCACCGGGGGCGGGGAATGAGCGCAGGTGGGAGGGGTCGGCGGGAGGGTGTGCATCTACCCGGCTGGAGAGACTCGGGGCTGGAGGGGCAGCTGGGCCGTCAGACTGGGGGGAAGGGAGCAGCTGGTACTTATTGATCACCTACTGCATGCAGAGGTCACAGCAGCCCTCATAGAATCATTTCCGTTAGGGATTAAGAAGTGGGTTTGGAGATCACCAATGTTAAAGGAGAAATAGCAGCATTTTAAGAATGTTAAGTTTATTTCAGCATTTGTATCGATTCTCATCCGGTAGGTGCCAAGCCAGGAGTGGTTAGGAGGCCTCCACCGAAGCGGTGGGGGAAAGAGTCCGAGAACACGTGGGAAAGAAGGAAGGAAATTACTCGATTGGCTACAGCTCAAATCCCGGTTGGCTCATCTTTGGTTGTTCTTAGCATCTGATTTTGAAACCTTGACACATTCGCAGGTTTAGGCTCTGGCTTGCTTACGTAGGCCACCGCGGCATCGGAGCCACCCCAGCCCAATGGCCTTCTCATTTAATTAACTGAGCACCAATAATGCACCTGAAATCATATAGTTAAGAAGATGAACTCCCGGGTTACATCTGAGTTCTCTCTGGTTCTGAGTCCTGTGCTATTTGTAACCAATATGCTATCACCTGCCTGTTGGAGAAGCATCATTCCAGCAAGAGGAGATGAAAACCAGTCCACATTCGGAGGGATGTTAGGTAAAATAAAATCAGAACCCTTTAAAAAGGCCCAGCTAATCTCAAGAGATAAAGGGAAATACCCAGGTATCAGAATTAAAGAAGAAACTTTAAAACAGAGTGACAAGCACTGGAGCGAAAGCTCTGGGCATCCTGGGGGTGGTGGGAGGGTTTTGCTTACTCGATACTGGGTATTAAATCTTCTTGAGGGGACAGGAGACAAGATCTGGGGTTAGGCATGACAGGGAGTCAGAAGAGTCAAAGGGTGAGCATAGAAAAGTCCCTCTGGGAAACCTAAAGAGTGGAGCAGGGCTGATACATTCCTAAGTGTTAGTGCCGCCAGATTCGGCAAATAAAAACAGGACATGAGTAATTTTTAGTATGAATATGTCCCAAATATCACATGGAACATACTTCTACTAAAATATTATTTGTTGTTTACCTGAAATTCAAACTTAACTGGATATCCTATATTTTATCTGGCAACCCCACCCAGTGAACCTGACAGATATACATGCAAGGCCACTCAGAAAAGGACAGGACCATGAGGCTTTTCACAAGGAAGAGAAAGTCGCACTGAGGGAGGGCTCCCGATAGGTCATCAGAAACCCTATAAAGACACAGACCACCATGAACAAGAGTCCGGAGAATCAACAAACAGGACTGAGCCTCAGCTCTGCCCAGGCATCCACTGAGCCAGTATTTGCGGGGCACTGTTCTAGGCCCCGGGGATATGCAGGGAACAAAACACAAAAGTCCTGTCCCTCACAGGATGGGGTCTAGTGGGAGAACCAGGAAACCGTAAGAACATGCGTCTTGTTAATGATCTTAGGAAGAAAAGTGAAGCAGGGAAGGAGAGAAAATGTATTGGGAACAACTCTCATTTTCAGGCAGGAGGAGGAAGGAAGACCTCATGGAGACTGTGTCCAGGTGGAGGCTTGAAGGGAGAGAAAGGACAAGCCAAACAGACATCTGGGGGAAGAACTTTCCAGGAAGAGAGAGCAAGCAGCAAGCACAAGGGTTTCAGGAGGGGTGCGACCCTGGCATGTTCTAGCCACAGAGGCCTATGTGGCTGCAGGGGGGTGAACAAAGGAGAGGCAGGAGAGAAGGTCTGAGGGGTGACACCCTGATGGGGAGAGTGGGGGTCATGGGCGTGCCCCGCGGTGTGCCACACGCAGCTACTGACTTTTAAATAAAGTTCAATAAAATTAAAAATGCACTCGTCCCTCAGTCCAGCCCTTCCAGGGTCAGTAAGGAGCACCATGCTGAGCAACTCAGAGTGTCTCTCTCCTCGCAAAAGTTCCCCCGAACGGCGCTGCCGGGGCCTTCCAAGTCACTGCACGGTGGCTCTTACTCTAAGGGAGGCGAAGAGAACAGAACAATCAGCAAGAGAATATAAAACTAGGTTTCGGGGATCCCTGGGTGGCGCAGCGGTTTGGCGCCTGCCTTTGGCCCAGGGCGCGATCCTGGAGACCCGGGATCGAATCCCACGTCGGGCTCCCGGTGCATGGAGCCTGCTTCTCCCACTGCCTGTGTCTCTGCCTCTCTCTCTCTCTCTCTGTCATAAATAATAAAAAAAAAAAAAATTAAAAAAAAAAAAACTTAAGATTTAAAAAATAAATAAATAAAATAAAACTAGGTTTCAAATGATTAAAGGAAGGAATCAGAGCCCAAGAAGATACCAAGACGGTGTTAAAAAAAAAAGAGTCCACAGACCCAGAAATGTTTTAAAAATTGGAATTGACAGCTCGGCGGCTAAATTCAGCTGCAGGTTAGATAGCAGAGGAGGGAATGAGCAAAGTGGCGTAGAATATGGAATCTCGGTGCTTCACGTGGGCCAGGCAAAGCTCCAGAAGCTTCAGGTGAGCTTCACACCAGGCACAGTTCTCCCCCCAGAGAACAAGCAGGGAAACGGGGCACAGAGGGGTGGCAGCTTCTCCTCCAGGGAAACTCAGGTCTGAGCACCCAGCCCCCAGGGCCTGTTATCTCTCCCGAGTTTAGCCACAGCTCAGTCCAGGAGCGAATAAAGAAAACAGCAAGTAGTCATGCAAAACAGGAGGGCTGACAATCTGTCACGGGTGAGAATGACGCATCCCAGGATTCGAGACTCGTGTGTCTTAAGTGTGTCCTAAGTAACGTGAATATAAATGAATTCACAGACTTCACAGCCGAACACATAGTAGTAAAACCGCGGAGTGCCAAGGGCACAGCAGACGTCCCTGAGGCCTCCAGGGCACTTCATTCCTGGGATAGAGACCTGCAGTGGGAGAGGAGAGGTCGGGGCTGGGGTGCACACCCCACTGTGGGTGCAGGGAGAGCCGTGGGGGGGCTCGGGCGCGGCTGCACTGTTTGGGGTCAGGGCCCCAGCTTCCAGTCATTAGTGGCCTCAAGCGTCCCAAGGCCCCGGCGAGCTTAGGCATCTGGCTCGGGTAAGTACCGGGTGAACACTGTTCTCAGAAGCTTCGTGACTATTTGGCGGAGGAATGAATGCGAGAGAGGCATCGTGCAAAGAGGGAGACCAACCCGGTACCTACACGTGGGCTGCTCAACTGGCGTATTTATAAAAGGCCTTTGCAGGGATGCACTTATGAAAGGCTATTTGGGGGCAGCCCCAGTGGCGCAGCGGTTTAGTGCCGCTTGCAGCCCAGGGTGTGATCCTGGAGACGGGGGATCGAGTCCCACATCAGGGTCCTTGCATGGAGCCTGCTTCTCCCTCTGCCTGTGTCTCTGTCTCTCTCTCTGTGTGCGTGTGTGTCTCTCATGAATAAACAAATAAAATCTTAAAAAAAAAAAAAAAGTTATTCGCTGGTGACCGTAAGTCGCGTCTGTATCATCGGGGTTTCATTTTCTGCTAGGATTCGAAAGCAAGTGGCATAAATGGAGCAAACTCTCACATCCTTTCCAGATGTTTTCTAGGCTCGTGGGAAATATTAAGGAAATTTTAAATAGTAATAAAACCCAGAACAGTTCCAGCAGCTTCTGTGCTCCGTGTGGTCTTGTCAGAGACGATGTGTTGCAGCCACAGCCGTAAGAAGTGACAGGAGGCAATCTCTGCCTCCCAACGGGATTTGATAACATAGAAGACACCAGACAATAAGAATGATCTCATTCTCACCGTATCACATGTGCTAATGTTGCAAAACACTGGGAAAGCAAGAAAGGCACGGTATTTTTCTGCCTTTATCCTCTAGTTTTGGCTTGGGGGTGCAGGGTCTTATCAGATGTTGCCACTCAAACACCCAGTCTTCCCGTGAGGCCACCCTGAGGAAGTGCTGTTCCGAAACAAAGTCCCGTTCTCCTCTCTCTGTCATGATTAGATCATGAGTATGGGGAAGAAATGTGATGCATGTAAGAAACTTTCATCCATTGTAAAGAAATCTATTTTTATGGCCTAATATTTTAATGTTAGAAAGTTACGTGCAGGGCCTGGATTAGAAAAACGGCCAATTACAGAGCAAAAACTTTGATAAATGTCCCTATGAATTCTTTTCTTGTCAGCCTTGGAGGAAGGCGCGTTAACACCTTTTTTACACAAGAAGAAACTGAGGCAAAGGGTTAGATATGACAGACTGAATATACAAATGGATAACGGGCCACATGTAAAAACAGAACTCTGATTTACAAGCCCCAGCGTAAGTGCAGGAAAGCAACGAGCCCGGAAAGCCAGACTGCTAAAAGTCAGACTTGCAGGAAGTCAGAGTACTTCTGGGAACAATCCAGAAGCCACGCAATAATGTCTGCAGCAATAATCAACTCCAAATCACTAAGCCTTCATTCATAACTGATAGCTTCTTTCATTTCTGTCCCCACTTCCAACTTAGGGCCAAGCGGAGAGAGCCAAGAGTGTGCGTCCCTAACCAACCATCGAGGTAATCCATCCTACAGCTTCCCCCAGGCCAACAGCTTCCGATCAAGGCACACCTGCAGCCCTCCCGTGTTTCCCACGGCAAAGCTATCCACTCCTCTGGGGTCTTTCTGCCTCTTTCTGGCAAAATGCAAGTGGGGGTGGCTGACGGTCCTGCTGCGTACAAGCTTGAATAGACTTTGCTTGTTTGCTTGGTCTTAATTCCAGAACAACCGGCTCAAGATCTCTCAGCTGGTGTGTGGCTGATGGGGATTTGAAACCAAGACCTATTCCACTCGGAGCCCAGCTCTCCCCACTGAACCACCTGCCCTTTCTGGAAGGCTGAGCCTCGAACGCCTTCGACTGCCTGGCCAGCAAGCAGGACACCAGTGAGAGGCAGGGGCGCTGTGATTTGGGATAGTTTATTATTACAATTAGTATGCATATAAAACCATGTAAACTCCACAAAATAAACGGGTTATCCTCTAAAATAACCCAAAAGTCTGCTGTGAACTTCCAGCACCCTATTTTAATATTTATCGTTTCACAGAAAGTCAGAGTCATACAAACAGAATTATAATACATTATTATTTTTTTTTTTTTAGGTAAATGATTTTTTTGGTCCACATTTTTTTTTGTCAAAACAAACACATACTTTCCTCTTTGGCAAAAGAGGCAAAATCCCCCACAGTGAACTCAAAGCAAACCCAGATTAAAAGCACTGAGCATGAGGTACAGCTGAGGTCTGGGCTAATCTGGAATCAGAGACACGCCGATTTTCTAAGACTCAAAACCAGTTCAGTTCCCAGCCATCCCGGGAGAAAAGCTCTATGTGGATTTGGCCTCGGTCGCTTTTGTAAGGAAGAAGACACCTCAAATAACTTTGTGTTTCATCGTTACAATGGGTTGTTTTTTGAAGAAAGTCCCAAAAAGTGAGGGCGTCTGGCCCCAGCAATATTTTTAATGTGAGGTACGAAGCATCTGCCACAGTCATTCAGACTGGCAAGGCGGTGCCACCTTCCTTCCCTTGGCTGGGTGGCATCTCAGCACTGGGTGGCCTGGCAGGCGGTCTGAAAAGGTGGGTTTGCATGTGACAGCCGTCCAGGGCCCGCTAGGCCCCGGTGAGGAGGGAGCAAAGTGGGGTCCCTGGGGAGCTGGGTCCCCCAGGCAAGGGAGGCCCCGCGGCCCCCAGGGACCTACTGGCCGCCGCCCAGCCCATCCCGGGGGGGTGGTGGGGAGGTGGCCCGGGGACTGGCGCGGCCGCCTCTGCTTTCCCCTGCAGCCCTCCCGCGACAGCCACCCCGCGGGGCTTCAAGCGATCTCGTTCCTTCCAGAACAGCGTCAGCCACGCTTTTCTTTTCATTCTAGTTACCCCAGCAGGGGCAAGGCGCCCCCACTGGCAACAAGGTGAAGTTTCAACAGACCCGCGGCGGCAGCGCGGTAGGACGCGCTCCCAGGGTGACCGTCCTCTGGCGCACGGTTCCGCGCAGCCCCGCTCTCCGCCTTACCCTCGCGGCAGGACCCACATCCGACAAGGCGAACTTAAGTTACTTTAATTCACGTTAAATACGACTCTGTACAGATTGCACGTTTATGCTAAAGCAGCTCGGTCTCACAGTTAGAGAAATGGAAACGCCATCTGAAAGCTGTCCTTGCCCAGCGCGACGCAGCCCCGGGCTCTCGTCCCCGGGGTCGCGCGGAACCAGGCGCACCGCTTTGTAAACAGTAGGAGCCCGGGGCGGTCCCTGGGGCTCCCCGCAGGATCCCGGGGGGGCGCCCCGCGGCCGGCTCCCAGGGCCGCAGCAGCCCGCCCCGGACGGCAGCGGCGGCCTCCAGGGGGCGCTCACAGGGGGGCGCTCACGGCCGCGGGGCTCGGGGGCCGCAGGCAGCCCCCGGGGGCGGCGTAGGCGGCGCGGGCGGCCGGCTCGGCGCGCGGCTCCTGGTAGTCGGGGCGGGCGCGCTCCGCCGTCGGGCCGCCGGCCGCGGGCTGCTGGGGGCCGGGGCGGCGGGCGGCGGGCGGCGTCTGGTAGGGCGCGGGCCCGGGCACGCGGTAGCCGCCGCGCGCGGGGAAGGTGCGCGTCCGCGCCGCGGGCCGCCCCACGATGGGCGTGGCGTACTCGGGCTCGGCGGGGCTCAAGGGCAGGGCGTACTCGTGGCGGGCGGCCGGCAGGGGGCGGGCGTAGTGGCCGCCGGCCGGGGCGCTGGGCTCGGCCCCCGCGGCCTCGGCGTCCATCGGGCGGAAGGTGGAGCCCTTCCTCGCCGCCGTGCCCGTGCCCATCAGCAGCGGCGGCTGGTAATCTGAAATCACAAGCGCGGGAGGCTCAGCGTGGGGGAGCCACACGGACACCCCCGCATCCCCCACCCCCCCACGCGGGCAGGCCGGCCGTCGGCGGAGGGGGGCCCTGGGGACCGGCCCGGGGACCAGCTCGGCCGAGCGCCTACCGGGCGGCAGGCAGCGGGAAAGCCGAGGGGTGAGCAGCCGCAGGGGTGAGCAGCGCAGGGGTGAGCAGCCGCAGGGGTGAGCAGCCGCAGGGGTGAGCAGCCGCGAGGGGTGAGCAGCCGCAGGGGTGAGCAGCCGCAGGGGTGAGCAGCGCAGGGGTGAGCAGCCGCAGGGGTGAGCAGCCCGAGGAGTGAGCAGCCGCAGGGGTGAGCAGCCGCAGGGGTGAGCAGCCGCAGGGGTGAGCAGCGCAGGGGTGAGCAGCCCGAGGAGTGAGCAGCCGCAGGGGTGAGCAGCCGCAGGGGTGAGCAGCGCAGGGGTGAGCAGCCGCAGGGGTGAGCAGCCCGAGGGGTGAGCAGTGCAGGGGTGAGCAGCCGCAGGGGTGAGCAGCCCGAGGGGTGAGCAGCCGCAGGGGTGAGCAGCCGCAGGGGTGAGCAGCCCGAGGAGTGAGCAGCCGCAGGGGTGAGCAGCTGCAGGGGTGAGCAGCGCAGGGGTGAGCAGCCGCAGGGGTGAGCAGCCGCAGGGGTGAGCAGCCGCAGGGGTGAGCAGCCGCAGGGGTGAGCAGCCGCAGGGGTGAGCAGCGCAGGGGTGAGCAGCCGCAGGGGTGAGCAGCCCGAGGGGTGAGCAGCCGCAGGGGTGAGCAGCCCGAGGGGTGAGCAGCCGCAGGGGTGAGCAGCGCTCGTGCTCTCCGAAGCCTGCGGACCCGGGGCGGAGACTGAGCTTCCCCCACCTGGGGCGGGGGCGGGGCGGGGGCGTGGTGGGGGAGAGCCACCTCCTTCAGGCGGCGCTGGCAATGGCAGATTTTGGAGGTGGGGGTGATACTATGCAGAACGGGGAACGGTGACCAAACGACCTATTAAAACCATAGAGAGGGGCGATGGGTGGCTCGGTGGTGATCCCGGGGTCCTGGGATCGAGCATCAGGCTCCCTGCATGGAACCTGCTTCTCCCTCTGCCTGTGCCTGTGACCCTGCCTCTCTCTCTTTATGTGTCTCTCATGAGTAAAGAAATAAAATCTTTTTTAAACAAATTTAAAAAAAGGGCAGCCCGGGTGGCGCAGGGGTTTAGCGCCGCCTGCAGCCCGGGGCGTGATCCTGGAGACCCGGATCGAGTCCCACGTCGGGCTCCCTGCATGGAGCCTGCTTCTCCCTCTGCCTGTGTCTCTCTGCCTCTCTCTCTCTGAATAAATAAATAAAATCTTTTTTAAAAAAATTAAAAAAAAAAAAACACGGAGAGAGTCCAAGGTTGATGTGGCCAAAGTATGACAGGCATGGAGTAGTTTAATGGAATAGAAAGACCCAAATAGTAGGTTGGGGACCGATGATAAAGGTGATGATAATGACAAAGCCCCCATTAATTCATTGGGTCCTGACTCTGTGCCAGGCAGTATTCTAAGCTAGGAAGATATCAGTTAGTGAAATCCTAAAAAAAAAAAAAAAAAAAAAAGTACAGTGAGGTAGGGACTTTTCCTCCATTTGACAAACGGAAAACAGAAGCAGGCTGAGATGCAGTCACTGCTCCAGGGTCACGGCTAGCAGCCAGTGGAGCCAGAAGTCCAGCTCAGGCCCCAAGTGTATGCCCATCAGAGAGGATACTGAGTGCTTTTGCTAGCAAGTTTGGTTTACTTCTCTAGAAACCTACTGAGAGGTCTAAATAAGAGACTGGCACAGTTGGAGGTAACCTGGCAGCCATATGAAGAAGGAAAGGTCAAAAATGAGACAAAAAGAAAAAGTGTAAGTCACACACTAGGAGTCTAGCGGCAGCCTTGGAAGGGCCACACACTGGAGATGTGAATCAGCGAAATTTATTACCAACACTGTGGGGTATGGAGAAAGAGGGGAGCCAGCAGGGCCCCCTTCCTGGATGTTAAGCCCAGAAGCCTGGGATGCACAGTGGGGAGGCCACTGGGAAGTGGAATGTATGGAGCATTCATGGGGGGAGGGTTAGGAACTGCGCTCAGTTTTAGACATGCTGAAGAACTGGGGACCCTCACAGGTACAGGTGTCCAGCAGGTGAGACTTACTGACTTGTTGGGGACAAGGAGGAGGTCTGGGCTTAGCCGCTGCACTGACCAAAAAGCGAGGAAGGGCTCTCTGTTGGGAGCTCTGGAGTGGGTGGGTGAGGCTGCTGAGGAGACACTGTGGCTGAGCAGTAGAGGGAGTGAGGCCCGGAGAAGGACCATACAGTAGGGAAGGAGGACAGGCTGCGGCAGAAGCTGACAAAATGAAAGGAAGAGGACAGACAAGCAAGTCTGCCTTCCCCTCGTTTTACCTACGAGGTAGCGCTAGAATTGTCAGGGGCTGTTGGGGGGGAAGGAATAAGAAGATGGATTTGGGGTGGAGGGATGCTCTCTTTGCCCCAAGTGGCTCAAGCAACCCTCCCACCAGGAGCTTCCTGACTTTGACATCTACGTGCACCGCCTCCCCAGGTCAGTAGGCCCCGGGGGCACTCGGCCTGAAAGCCCGCATTTCTAGCAAGTTCCCTGATGCTGCCAGTCCTCAGAATGCACTTCGGGTAGCGAGAAGCTAAGCTGAGCTCCTCCAAGTGTGGCCTGCAGACGCCTACATATCTGAGAACTGACACAGGTCTGCAAAAAGCCAAGCACACCAACTGACAGCATTTAGAAACTCAACAGCAATGCAAGAGTCACCTTATGTCTGTTGAGTCTAATAAAAGAATTAGAGTTTTCTATTTTGTAGGTCTTTAAAAATGCCATTATTACTGCTAATTTATACAGCTGACCCTGAGCAACAGGGGTTTCAACTACGTGTGTCCACTTATAGGCAGATGTTTTTTCATTACAGTATAGTACTGGAAGTATATTTTCCTCTTTATGATTTTCTTAATATTTTATTTTCTCTAACTTACTTTATTGTAAGAACACAATAGATAACGCATATGACATACAAAATATGTGTTAACTAACTGTTCATGTTGTTTGTAAGGATGGAGTCAACAGTAGGGTGTTCTAGTCAACAATAAACTATTAGTGGTTAAATTTTGGGGGAGTCAGAAGTTACACAAGGATTTGTGGCTGCACAGCAGGTAGGTGTCCCTAAACCCCTTGGTTCAGGGATCAACTGTATTGTATTTTACAAAGGTATCAGTTCTTGACGATGAGAAATAATTTTTTAAAAGACAAAAAAAAAAAAAAAAAAAGAAGAAGGAAAAAAAGCATCCTTCCCCAAGGACAGTTTGAGAAGCCTGACTCTCAGTGATGGCTTATGAGGGACACAGGCCATTCTGACACTGGATGGCTTCTTTCATGTCCTGTCTCACCTTCCACAGGGGCAGGAGCTGTGCTTAATTCATCTTTCCAGTCTCTCTTTGTTAGTTAACAGATTAATCAAGGGTTTCCAGATTGTTGTGGTGCCTCAGGGCCATTGCTTTAGCCACGCTATAGCTCCCGTATGGGCAATGGCCTCCTCTGAATGGACTTTTGAGAGATATCTTGGGGTCCGTTTGGGACTTAGTGACTCCTTGCAGAGTTAAGAAGGAAGACTGTCCACTTTACTGATGTATTGGGCCCCCAAAACACAAGGGTTTTGTCTTATTTCCCTCCTGGTCTCCCCAGCCCCCTCAGCAGCTCTTCCCACGTCAGGGCGCTGTCCCAGAGGCTTGACGCTTACCTGCCATATCGCTTGTGATGAGATCTAACTTTTGTGTCATTTCCTTCTCATGATCATAGCTGATGGTAAACTCAGCTGACTGATGTCGGGCAAAGGGATACTTGATCTGCTTCCAACAGTCTGGAAGAAAGATAACACGAAACAACCTAAAACCCCAGAAGCAGCCTAACGTGCACGGCCCATGATATGTTCCTCGATGAGCAGGGGTTGGGGGTTCTGCCGGCTGGCTGTAGATGCAGGGCCGCAGCTCGTCACATGCATGTAGCAGGAGCAGCATGCTGACGTCGTTACAACAACAGCAAACACCCTTCCAACCACGCTTTCTACCTGCCTTCGCAAGTGTGTCTGCGGACCCGTCATGTCCCAGATTATCCCTGTTACACACGTGGGCATGGTTTTCCATCATCTGCACGGACACAACATTCATGCCTCAGAGAAGTCAACACATCTGGTGTCCCAAGGCGCCCCTGAGATCCTGAGGGGTCCTGCCCTCCCTCTGGACCACAGCTGACTCATTGCTTGGGCATCCTGTAGTCCTTAGGATTCTCTGAAACCTGACCGTGAACCCTGCCTGGTGCTTCCTTCGCTCCCCCAGAGTGGAAAATACAGAGGAAGCCTGGAGATGCAGAGCGTGCTGGACAATGTACTTTGTAAATAAAGGGGGCTTTTAAAACTTCTCCTGGATGACAGGCAGTGTGGTGACCTAAACTCCAGTGGCCAAAAAAAAAAAAAAAAAAAAAGAATGTTGATAAATGATGGGACAATGCTGAACAAAAGTAAACGTAACTGGCCATGAAAACTCTCTATTAAAATAGAGAGATTAAAACACAATATTCCATTCCTTTTAGGCTTGCTAATAACTTAAAGGCCATGGATCTTATTTTTTAAACCATATGAGTGTGGGCCAAAGACCTAATTGTGCTTTTAATCAGCAGATCCTGTCCCTTCTCTAGGACAGAATAAAACCATAGAGTAAAACTATAGAGTTTTCTGTAAACCAACCTGTTTTCTGGGCCTTAGCTGATCCATATGGATTTCCTTTCTTCTTCCTCCTACAGAGACAAAAGAATCCTACTTGAAAAGGTTTCCAAGTGATAAGTATTGTTTATAGAAGAATGCTTGATACTTTCTACCCCTCCCCAACTTGTTTTTAAAGCATAAATTAACATTTTATCTTGGCCAAAGCAATGCAGCTTTTCTACACAAGAAGATCTGAAAAGCAAATATTTTGGGTTTGTGATTATTTGCATAATCAGAGAAGAAATTGTAAAATGTCAAGTTACATACTTTCTAAGGGCTGCAAAGATTCCCATTCCAGCAACCAGCAGGCCAAAGAGCACCAGTGGAAGGGCAACAGCTGTGACGTTTATTCCTAGGAGGGGGGAAAGCCACCACATTACAACAGAAATGAACTGCAGCCAAGCCTCAGGATCTAAGACTGAACGCTGGTTTGAAAGGTCTTGAGTGCCTTCATTCATATCTGGGGGAAGTGAGTATGTGCTAGGCATTGCCTCATATCAGAAAGCAAGAGAGGATTCAAAATCCTGGCTCAAGTTTTTGGAAAATAATTTTTTTCCCAAAAAGGGCAATTTTTGATGGTCCTCAGAGATTCACATTTACTCTGAGCTTGTTGTTTGGACAATATACGACTCCAAAATCAGGATCCAGGGGGAAGATTTCAAGCCGGCCCACTCGGCTGACCAGGAGGTGCTTGGCTCAAGGAACCAGTTCTCCTAGATGGTGGGAGGGCTCTGGCTTGGACAATAACAGGAGCTTGGCGGGTGGCGGGAGCAGGGAAGGGGAGCTGAGCCCTGCGCTTCCCTGTGCTTCCGTTACCAGGGCTTTGGAGCTGTGGACTAAGAGGAAATGCAGCCTGATGACCTCAAGCAGCATTTCCACTCTGCTGCACGGAACACCATATCTTCCTACTTTTAAAAAAGAAGTCGCTTTAACAGATACTAAAGCAGGCCCCAAGCTTGTAGAAACTATGCACACTAAAGGAGAAATATTTGTCCACCCTTCTTTATCTGTGATCCCTGAGAAGAAAACAAAGGGATGATCAGGAGTGGAAATGTGTAGTTCATGAAAGGGGAGGATAAGAACCTTTGAAAGGAACAAAAGTTATGTAAATGATGGCAGTGTTATTTACCAGAGTGGAAATTTGGGAAAAATCTATCCACTTACACACCCAACAACAGGGGACTGGTTAACTAGGTGATGGTATATCCATATGAAAACACAAAGGTATTAACAACTGTGGGGATCCCTGGGTGGCGCAGCGGTTTAGTGCCTGCCTTTGGCCCAGGGCGCGATCCTGGAGACCCGGGATCGAACCCCATGTCGGGCTCCCGGTGCATGGAGCCTGCTTCTCCCTCTGCCTGTGTCTCTGCCTCTTTCTCTCTCTGTGTGTGACTATCAATTCATAAATAAACAAAACTGTGTTTTTCAACTACTTTATAATATTGGAAGATGCCCATAGTACCATGTTAAGTGAAAAAAGATATGCTACAGGACCAAATATATGGCAGGCTACTGTTTTTTTCTCAAAGTTATAGATAAATATAGTTTGATTGCGGGATCCCTGGGTGGCGCAGCGGTTTGGTGCCTGCCTTTGGCCCAGGGCGCGATCCTGGAGACCCGGGATCGAGTCCCACGTCGGGCTCCCAGTGCATGGAGCCTGCTTCTCCCTCTGCCTGTGTCTCTTCTTCTCTCTCTCTCTCTCTCTCTCTCTCTGTGTGACTATCATAAATAAATAAAAATTATTAAAAAAAAAGAAAAATATATAGTTTGATTGCATACAGTGGAATATGGTGATTATCTAGGGATACTAATTTATGGCTTGTTTTTATGTTCATATTTCTATATCTCTAATCTTTCTGAATTTTATAAATTAATATGCAAATCATTTTATATTCTGAAAAAACAAATGTCCTTTTAATGTTTATTATGTGAATAGATTATATATTTACATGTTCAAACTTCAAAAAGTATAAAAATGTCTCCCTCCTACCTCTGTTCCTCCTCTACAGGAAGCCAAATTATGTTTCCTGACCTTCTTCCAGAGATATTGCAATGATTTTATATATATTATATATATGTATATATATATATACACACACACATATATGTGTACATATTTATATATATGTGTGTGTATTCAATCTTTATTCCCTTTTTGCACAAATGGTAGAGTGCTATATAGACTGTCCGGTCTTTGCATATTTTTTAAAGTTATCTCAGAGAGTTTCCTCTACACATTTATTTTTCACACCTGCAGAGTATTTCACACCTGCAGAGTATTCCATTGTGTGGAGGTGCTATTATTTTTCCATAAAATCTTTACCTATTGTTTGAAGGGCAAATACTACTTTTTTCTACTTACAATATTGCAATGATATACCTCCTGTGGATATACCTCATTTTATACTTATGCAGCTACCTCTGGGCCATCTGACTCAAGACATTCACATGACAGAGAAAAAAGGTTTTGTTGAAGTGACTGTAATAATCAGATGGAGTCCGGTTATGCCCCTTAGGAAACCACAAAACAGTAACTGCTCTACCTGTGGGTATTTCTGCAGAGGGGATGGATTTTGTGATTGTCTCATCTTCTCTTTCAGATGAACCAACAGTATTTGGACTTGTTTTGTTTAACACCAATGAATCATTACCTGAGGCAGAGGAGATGTTGGAAAAACCACATTAGTAACAATCTGTGAAAGGGCATGATCAGAATCAAACAACTCGCTGACCTGCCCCTGGTCCCACACCTTGTGTAATCTGGCAACCAAAGAGCTCCACATTCAAGGCTATCCTCTGATGCCACGTCTGGGGGACAACCCGAATGTATCTGGCCACGATGGGAGGGATGAAATTGTTCCTCACTGGATCCCGAAAATTAGAGTTGCCCTGAAACACCTGTAGAAACAAATAACTTTTACCCGAAGAGGCTCGGAGGGAGTTTCTAACTCTTTCCCACCCCCTCCTCCCTGCTTGTATGACACCAAAGCCAGAATTCTATGTCCATTGCGGTTCTGCAGAGATGCTTGCTAGTGAAGATATATGGCTTTGCCAACAAAGGCTAAGTTACCTCACTAGGGTGGTGCTGCAGCTCTGGTTTCTGGAATCACACGGATAAAAGTATCTGGAGACCACTCTCCCTCTCAGTTCCTTCCTCCAAAGTTTCTCTTACCTTCTCTTTATTATTCGCAATTCCTTTATAGCTCCTCCACTTGGAGTTGTTGTTTTTGAACTTCATCACGAAACTCTTAACATAAAAGTTGAAATTTGACTGTGTGGATCCTGTGGTCATAATCCCTTGTAAGAAAATATTATTGATAGGTTAGTTTTTAAAAACTATATACAGCATGTATTACAATTCCAGGTGTCTTTTCTCTCTTTCTTTTTTTTTTTTCTCCTCACTTGAAATCTTAAATCATTTTCCAGGCCAATTTTTCTTATTTGCATTTAGAAACCTGACCACAGATGAGTGTTTCCACACTGACAACACGCCAGCAGAAGGTTCCATCTTTGAGGTGTGGGCTTTCTAATCCATACATCCACACTTACAATCTGCGCACAGGTTCTTCCCATGGAGACAGTGTGAAGGCTTGTTACTTTTAGAAAAGACACAGAGTCCTTGGAGGGACAGAAAGAGGCACCTCTGTAGGTCTAAAACGTAATTTCAACCTCCGGTCACTTGCATTGGTGAGGCTGTACCTGTGATTTTCTTTTTCTCTCCCAAATCGGTCTCCAGCCACTCTCGCTGTTTGCGGTTCTTGCCACCATCCCCTGCTGCCCACGACAGGTCTTGGTCTTGAAGTTGGGCTTGGTCGGGGGACCAGTGAATTTGTTCTCCCATCTCACTGACCCACTGCCAAGAGGCTGTGATTTGTGTGTCAGGTTCCAAACTCAATGATCTGCTGCAACCTAAAAAAAAAAAGAAAAATTAAAAAATTTCAAAAAGGCCGGAAGCGGAGAGTATTTCTGATGTAAACACAAAATGAGAGGGGGGAAAAATAAAGTACTCCATTTCACCTAGAATTATCCAGTGGATTTATTTCCATTCTGATAGCAAATCAACTGTTTAAGTACTAGTTTTTTTTTAGTGACCCAGACTTTTTCTTTGACTCACTGGTACTGCAGCCTCTGGCAATTGCTGCTTTTCTCTTTAATGGACCTCACTGAAGTCACACCCCCCTAGGAATGACATCTCTTTGTTCCCACCATAGGTTTTCCTTTCTAAACTTATAAATTCACACTCATTTCAGCAAAGTATAATGTGTCCTAAAGGTTTAAAATGCTGAAAGTTCTTCTCACTTGATCAAAGGGGACTCTATTGTCCGTATCCTTGAAGAGGAGGGACATCCAGGGGCTCTGAAGATCAGTAAATTGTACTCAACGTCATCCTCAGGACCTGAATTTTACCATGTCCAAGACAATGTGGAGGTTAGCAAATAAAGGCCACACTCCTCTCCCTGGACAAAGAAGACACATTCACATTGTTCTCCTTGCAATATTTTACTTTAGGCTGAGAGACTATTTACACAGAACATATTTCATGTTCAATCATTTTATTCAAGAGAACCACAAATCAAACCGTTGTATTTAAAAGCTTTTCCTGTTAAAGTTTAACATAAAGGAATTTATCTTAAAATAAATGCTATTTCGAATTTTCATTCTTTTTTTGCCAAAAGTTTGAGACAGCTGAGATGATAAAGAAAAAGGATTTTCTACTTCATGCCAATTGAGTTAGTGTCTTGGTATTTTTAGGTTACAGCGTACTTGGTGCTCTGGGATTGGTGGGGGGCAAAAACAAAAATACAATCCTTTAAACTAGATCATCAGAGGGGTACGGGAAAATAAACTACCACTGGGGATTAGAAAATATCAAGTTCTTAAAAAAAAAAAAGGCATGATCCTTACCATTGGAGGTAAAGAGAAATCGCTTGTCTGACAGGGAACCACTGCAATAACAAACACAGACATGAGGAGGTGAGTTGCTTACCGGGATCTCAATTTAAATGTTTGACTCTGAATTAGAGATGGCAACCATGGACAGAGGGTCCTGAACCGTGAAATCACAAAGAGCCCAGAAAAAGTCTGGACAAGAGTATAGGAACCTTCCCATTTAAAGCTTTGCTGCTGTTGCAATGTTTAGAAGTACCAGGTAGTCCCAATTCCTGGAAGGGACTTTATCTTCTTCTGTGTCCAGTCCCAAGCAGAGACTCCCGGCCCTGCCATTCCGCATAAAGGTTCCATTATAACCTCTGCACTGAATACAATGCAGGCACAAATCATTTCCTACATGAAAATGCAGACCCTCGGGGGTCATGACACTTGCCTAAATTCACAGTTCGAGGCCAAGCTGGGGTGAAGATGCAGCTCTCCTAACTTTTAAAGAAAGTTGCTGTTTCACAAAGTTTTATTAATTTATTTAGAGCCTCTACTTGACTGATTTTTCCATTTTTTTTTTCTAACGTTCCTGCTATTACACTTGACATTTTGCCCAAATAAGCCCACCTGATACTGCAGCAACCTGGAGCACCTAAACTTGTTCCCACTGCCATGAGACGCTAAAATATTTTGTTGTTGCTGAACAAGAGAGGTTATGGAAAAAAGGATAACTGTAGTTAACCCTGGGAAGACACCACCGGGAGGGCTCTGCACCTAAAAGCTCTCTGCCTGGCTTTTCTCCATTATCAGCTGGAATACTTTTTTTTTTTTTTTTCCATTTGACTCTATTAAACTAACTAAATACAACCACTTAGAGAATTATATTGATAAATGAGCCTCCTCTTTTATTTTTTATTTATTTATTTATTTATTTTTTGAGCCTCCTCTTTTAAAAATGGAAACACCCCAGGAGGCTGGAGCTCTGAAGCATTCACACATCAGGGTGAATGAGTTCAATCAGATTCCTGGAACTGCCAGCGTTCCCAGAGGGCTAGAGAAGTGATCAAGAATAGGCTGATGTAAACTGAAAGAAAAGCATTCCCGGCTGGTGGTTTGAGCTTCACCCTCTGTCTGAGGTCAGGCGCTCTTCCTGATTCCATTCTGGTCTCCTCCAATCAAGGAAGTGACCTGACCCGGATGAATCCCAGAAGAACCCTAGATATTTACTTTAGGGACTCCTTCTTCCTCAGCGGCAATGCTTCCTTCTATGTTTTTTCCTGAACACCAAACAAGCATGTGTGGGAACAGAAGTTCAATGACCGCAGGCACAGTGCTTCCCCAACAGCAAACCAGCACAGATAAAAACAACTGCCCCCTAAAGATTTGGGAATTGAGATGACTGGAAGAGATGTATCCGCATGTGGTTCACTCTACTCTGCTCAGTACAAAAAGCCAAAGCAAAATCAGAGCTGGAAGGAAGAAGGGACGTTGATATAATTCTGGACTTTCTATTCCCACCAAAACAAACATCAAAAATTTGTTTAAATAACTGCATGGAATGTAGAGCCAAACTCTTCCTAATTCATTAATGGTTTCGATTTCTGTATTCCTATCTTTGCATCATTATTTAATTTCAAATTCCATTAGGTGACTTCATCTGTGTTAAGCCCAGAAGTAACTGAGAACACGTCTGCTTCTATTTAATAGTTTAAATAATTTTTTTCAAAAGGTAAAATAAAATCCTAGTAGTACAAGTTAAACTTTTTACGATCCTATTTTTCTACAAAAGAAGCACGAAGATGTATATAAACATAGGCAAGAGATTTAAAAACAAAAAACAGACTTAAAACCAGAGGTCAATTCTTTGTTCCTATTTGGAGACACGGCGCTCAACAAATCTAGGCCCCAGCATGACATCTTCCTGAAATGGTCCCCTAGTATCAATACATTGAACCATAAAAAATGTAACCAAAACCAGATCCTCAAAAGTCAAGATCACGCTGATGTTTACAGCTTACTGTGCATAAGTAATCACTTTTAAAATAAATCAGGATATAATATTTATGTTTCAAAAAGTTTGAGGCAAATACAAAAGTGAAAAGATACATGTACATATGCGTGTATGTATATATAGTACATGTATGCATACATTTTTATCCATAGTACATATATGTACGTGCATATATGTATGTATAAAATACGTGTGTATATAAAAGTGAATTTATAACATACACATATAAATTTTATTTGAGTAAGGGTTTAGTTCTAAAGGTACTGTTACTAAGCTTTTATTTTTTATTTTTATCTTTTAAAAAAGATCTTATCTATTTATTCATGAGAGGCACAGAGAGAGAGGCAGAGACACAGGCAGAGGGAGAAGTAGGCTCCCTGCAGGGAGCCCGATGGGGACTCGATCCCATGACCCGGGATCAGAACCTGAGCCAAAGGCAGACGCTCAACCACTGAGCCACCTGGGTGCCCCTGTAACTAAGCTTTTAGATCTTAAACCTTGGCACAAACTTGGGACTGATTTGTCTTTGAATGTTCACACAGAATGAAAAGAACACTGTGGGGCCTCTCAAAGTGAGAAGTCCTATCCAGAGGGAAGCCCCATCCACAGCAGGCAAGAACACAGAGCAGTGAGCCTCCCATCAGAGTGCAGCCCACACCCTGTGCTTAGTGGGCGACTGCCTTCCACAGATCACATGCAGCATCACTTGCGTGGCCTGTGAAAGACTCGGGCTCAAACACCCTCTCCAGGTACCCCTACCTGCAGCCCCGACTCAGAATTGCCAGTGGGAGCTTTGCCTTTTCTCCTCAGCCACCCTCCAGCCAGGGCCTGGACAAGAGCAGGGTGTGCTGCCTACCGTAACCCCTCTGGTGTCCCTCCCCGGGCCCTGACTCTGCTCTGTGTCCCCCGCCTGCCTGGTCCCCGCCTTCCACCCGGCCAAGGCCTCCTTCATGAATGTGTCCTACCCAGTTTCTCCCCCGACTGCAGCCACTGCTTCTAAGTCCCCATCCTGTGAGCTTAGGCCAACACCCCAATCCAGAAATGGGCTTTAGTCCCTAACTTTACTTGTGAGCTCATCAATTGGTTCTTGAGAATTTATGATACATTTTCCCACAGAAACAATATTACACCTTGTAGTCAGAATCCCTATTTGAACCACAATATCGCTCAACCAGCCATAATACATTTAAATAAAAAGTAGAAGGGGAGGGAAAAAAATTACTGTATAATTGCCTCACAGTGACATCAGCGTCACTATATTTATGCTAACCAGGGAACCTATCAACCTATCAAGAGCAGGGAAACACGATGGTGTCACAGGAGCAGGGACCAGGGCGCCACGGTGGGGTGGGGGCGCAGGGGAGGGTGGTGACCCCCATACAGACTAGGGCGTGGTAGGGGTACAGGTCCTGGACTACGTTTCCCTACTTCTGGATCCTGAAATGCCAGTCACCTCTGTCTTGTGCAGTATTCCTGAGACCAAGACTACATGACAACCTGTCCAAAAAACACAGGGCCATGGTGGCAGGGAGACATTTTGGGGGCTGATAGGGAAGGGGCTAGAGATAAACACAGCAGCTTCAGGATCATCTTTCTCTCCCACGGCACCCACCCAGGCAAGCCTCCCCCTGGCCCACGCCAAGCTGCCTGTTTCTATGAGCAGACACCTGGACCACAAGGCGGGTTTATATTTAGTCCTAACAGCTCTTGTTTTCCACCCCACAAACTGAGGAAACCTAAATGCATTAAAAGCCCAGGTTGAAATGTTTAAAACATGTGAACAATTGACATACTTTTTTTTCCTCAGGAAGCTAAAAGAGCAGAGGGTGACAGCAATCAGAGGGGTGAATGTTAACAAAAGCCCCCCGCTCTCCCCTCCACTTCCCAAGTATTATCCATCACCAGGAGCTCCTGGGAAGCTTGGTCGTTCTATGGAGGCCTACTTGACTGCCCGGTCTCCTTCAGTATCTCTGGTAATATTGGAGAGAACCAATAATTTACTAAAACTGGAAGAACTGAAAAGGGATAGCCTTTATTCTCTCCCCGTAATACATCTAGGGTAGAAGCACTGCGTTGCCCTAGAGCTTCCAACGTGTGCCACTTAACGTACTTGTCAGCAGAACCAGTGAGCTGTTTTGTTGCTGCGCTGCTCTTGCCCACAGTCACCATAAATGCTGCTTTAGGCCCTCACGCACATTCTTCCCAGGCGACAAACCCTTGGTATCAGATGCCCACTGTCCCTTCAAACTTGTGAGCTGATAAATTATGCCTTCGGGGCGACCTTCCACTCAGAACAAAAGACAAGGTACTCACTCTCTTGAGAGCACGCCGTTGGCCAGGATTCCTTCATATCGACTAATCCCTTTGCGCTGAAGCACGCTGATCTGACCACCCAACTCGTCTGCAATTATTCCTGCATGGATGGCGGCTTTGCACAATAAAGAGGTCTGAAATACAGCAACAGCATCATTCACAGCTACTCAAGAACATATTTAAAATACGCTGAGAGGGGGCACCTGGGTGGCCTAGTGGTTCAGCGCCTGCCTTCAGCAGGTCCTGGGGTCCTGGGATCGAGTCCTGCATCAGGCTTCCCGCAGGGAGCCTGCTTCTCCCTCTGCCTCTCTCACTGTATCTCTCATGAATCAATAAATATTTTTTTTAATTAAAAGAAAAAAAAGAAGAACTGACCAACCCAAATTGCTGCCCCACAAACTCATCAGCAAATAACATGGCTCTTATCTTAAGCCACTAAATTTTGGGGTGGCTTGTTCAACAGACATAGATAACTAATCAGTGTCTTACATTTGGTTTACCAGATACTCATTACTAAGGACCATTTGAGAAGGTGAACCTTCCATACCATAGCTTCATCTTATGATTAATTCAGAGATTGAACAAGGCACCAAAAGCAAAACAGTGATGTCAGCCATGGAACATTACATGGAACAACAACAAAAAAACTTCACAAAGGTCTTGGAGCTATGAGGATGAGCAACCCAGGACCCACAGCCTCCATCTCATTTCTGGAGTCTCTTCTGAAAGTGGCAGATGGCTGGCACCCGCTCAGTCCTCCATGACTGCTGCCTCGGAGTGACAAAGTGAGCAGGAGCACCTGACTGGCTGATTAGCAGTTGGCCCTGGGATTGGGATTGGCCCACTAGAAGTGCGGCTGGAGAAGGACTGAAACTTTTCCATGGGTGCCTGGGCCCTGAGGCCCCCATGGGCACAGACCTGCATGGGAGGGTGATCAGTCTGTCAGGTCAGCCCAGGACGAGGGGCTGAGAAACATTTTCTAAATAAATTTCAGCAATGCCTCACTTCTCTGTGGTGGCTAATGCTGAAATGAGAAAAGCAGCTCATGAAATTATATCTTGATAACTGGACTTGGGAATTTCTCTTCGGGTTAATGGCCATGCTGCTGCCGTACTCGCAGTGGAAAAATTCTCTTGATTTAGGTTATAAACCCTGGGGGACCACCGAGACCAACCATATTTTGTAATAGTTGCGGTTGCAATAAAATCGAGATCTTCTGTGATCTTTGATTTACAGGGTGTATATTTTCCAAACTAGATCAGATTTTGGGAAAAATGAGTCAGTTTTGCAATAATGGCTATCATAGCTAAAAGAGGGCAAGAATTACTGACAGAGAAGAAATATGAAAATGCTGAAAGACAGATGCAGATACTATCCTCCTTGATTCTGGAGAAGAATTAGAAGATGAGAATAAGATAGTGATCTTTAAATAGGCAGTTTGTGGAATTTTTTTTTCTCCAGAATGTTCTTTTCTTAAATAGATTATCACTGTTTTAGATTCTTAGGGTACAAAATGGATCTGCCAGTTGTAACAGAAAAGCCCTGAATTTAAATTTGGCAATTAGCTCATCATCCCAGTTTTGCCTCTAACTTTATCTACTTTGGATCGGGCACCTCAATTCCTCTGTACAATGAAAAGGCTGGACTTCATGATGTCTAGTACCTTTTCTAATGGGGTATCACCCTGTGATTCTAATGGGCACCCGATGTCCACACATGCTTGCCTAGCTCTCCCAGCCCCCAAATGAAAACCAAATTGGTCCAGTGGTCTACTGAGCAAATAATCCCACTTTCCCTGGGATCATTATCTTCCTTATAATTTCTTCTAGGGATGGGACGGTCTTTATCCCAGGAGCCCAGCCTAGTGGAGAGCTCTTACAGGACTTGGCATGTCCCAAGGCCTCCTTGGTTACAAAAGGACAGGTTCACAGGTCAACCAGCAATAGGAGCTAATACTAGCATCACTGGCCAACATAACATTCTCATTTTCCATAGTAACCAGTATGGAGGGACCCCAGTAGTATATACTCTTTTAATGGAATTTATTCAATTGCCACTCATGTTTTTCCATGTTAAATGAGCGCCGTAGGATACAACTCCAAGAGAATAACCACTAGATCTGGCTATTAAATTATTATGATAAAAATATCAGCCCTTTCCAGGATTGTTTTCTTAAAAAATAAAAATAAAAATCCCTCTCTTACCCAACCAACTTAAATAAAATTGATGTCTACTTAAACTGGGGCTTTTTGGTATCAATTTTTAAAATTTACTCTCACTGAACTTGTAAGTTTCCTTTTGAAGAAAGGCATAATTTATACTTTTGGAAGAGAGCGTAATTTATACTTTTTCTAGCTATTTTCAAGGTCAAAGCCTCAGTGAAATGTAAATATAAGAAAGCCACACCACTAGCCCGTGTTAATTAGTGAACTACCTACCTTCAACTCAAACGGAATAATTTAAATGTAATTCTTCAGGAAAAGCAATGCAACAGACAGCTGAGAAGCACACGTGCATGGCTCATGAAATTTCAAGTTGATGGTATTAAACATTTCTGAAGTTCACTAAGCCACAAAAGATGGCCAAACAGATCAGCACGAAGTAAGACTGCACCAACTTTCAAAGCAATTATTAAGTCATTCCAGAATCAGAGCATTTTTTTAAGTCCTCCTTTAAGAAAAGTCAACTTGTACTCGTAAAAAGTATTGACAAAGTAATTAAAGTTTAATATAAAACTAAATGCTAAAAAAAATAAAATAAAACTAATGTGTTAGGTTGCATTTAATCAAACATGAATAAAGCACATGTTTTGGGCAGCCTGGATGGCTCAGTGGTTTAGCGTTGCCTTCAGCACAGGGCCTGATCCTGGGGACCTGGGATCGAGTCCTACATCAGGCTCCCTGCATGCAGCCTACTTCTCCCTCTGCCTCTCTCTCTCCTCTCTGTGTATTCTCATGAATAAATAAATAAAATCTTTAAGATAATAATAATAATAACAAAGCACATGTTTTAAAATGATGGTAAAATGCTGAATTATAAAAATGTATTCCGGGACACCTGGGTGGCTCAGCGGTTGAGCCTTTGACTCGGGGAGTGATCCTGGGGTCGGGGATCGGGTCCCACATCGGGCTCCTGCTTCTTCCTCTGCCTGTGTCTCTTCTCTCTCTCCATCTCTCATGAATAAATAAATAAAATCTTTTAAAAAAGTGTATTCCATATTCTATCATATGAATTGTTCCTCTGTGGCTACAGTCTTTGTAATTACCATATTGGCAACATTTTCTTTACAAAAGTAAGATGCATTCATTGCAGAAATGTTGGAAAATATGAAAAAGTCACACATACTGCCATCACCTGGAGACAGTCATGCACTATTATAACATATTTCCCTCTGGCTTTTTGTGGGTGTACATTGGGCCTGGTTTCTCCTCTTTTCCTCCTAAACCAGGAGCACGCTCTCTCTGTACTGTCTTCCTTTATTTTCTAGTATTTCTTGAATATTTGGGGAGAATGGAGAATTTACTGAAACAAGTTATTAAGTGATGTCTTCCACTTAAAGACAGATGGTACAGTCAGCAGGCTGGGGAAAAGGTGCCAAGAAAGAAACTGTTCTAGGGGCTTTTTATCTCTGGTTTCCAGGTGAGGCAGATCTCAAAGAAAAGCCCATCCTACTTATCTGGCATGATAGGCATGTACCAATGTTGATGGCTTCGTTCATCAGTCAAGGAAACAGAGTCACAGAGCCTTAAGAATTCAAAAAGACTGTTAAAGTTCTCTCTCGATACGTCCTGGCCAACAGTCACTTTCTCCACCCCACAGCACCTTCCCGGACACATACAGGCCCTGTCTGACAAACTGTTGTAACATCTACACACTTCCACTTCCAGGGATTAGAGCCCACGGTTTCTTGAGACATTCTAGCCCATTTTGTACTGCTCAGTGATTCCTTATATGCAACTGAAACTGGCTTCCCAAATACTTTCTTCCTTTGACCCTGGTTCTACCTTTTGGAACAACTGTAGAATGAACCAATTCTTTTTCTGTAACTGTTCTTTAAGACAATGTCTTTATTTCCTGAGACAGAGCACCTGTTTCTCCAACAGCTTCTCTACTAACTTGTTCTACACATTCTGTGAACTTGACCCACAGGATATGTTTTGGTTTTGCAAAGATGATTCCACAAAGGACCTGCCACAACTGAACACATTTCCTAAGATGGAGGCACCATGGAGGACGGCACGGCCTCTAAGGTGATGGGAGCTATGGTCTTCTTCTGCTAATAGAACACAGCAATCGTGATGGGATGCCACGCTCATGGCAACATTCTTTTTTTTTTTAAGGATTTTATTTATTCATTCATGAGAGGCACAGAGAGAGAGGCAGAGACATAGGCAGAGGGAGAAGCAGGCGCCCTGCGTGGAGCCTGATGTCTGGGGGAGCTTGGATCCCAGGACCCCCGGATCACCACCTGAGCCAAAGACAGACCCTCAACCACTGAGCCACCCAGGTGCCCCCCATGGTGACATTACATAAGGCTGTAACCTGTCTTACTAGGGGACTCCTTTGTTAGGAAATTCTGCCTCGGTGGTTTTGAAGAAGCAAGCAGTGATGTCAGCAAGGCTCAAATGGCAAGGAGCTGAGGACAGCCTCCAGCCAAAATCTAAGAAGAAATTAGGGTCTTCCAGTCAACAACCCATGGGTAACTGAATGCTGCCACCACCACGTGAGCTGAGAAGCGAAGGGGAGCCTCAGATGAAATGAGGCCCAAGCTGACAACTTGGATGCAGGCTTGTGAGATCCTGCAGCAGGGAACTCAGCCAAGCTATGCCCAAACTCTTGACCCACAGAACATGAGAGATACTACATGTTTTGTTTTAATCAAGGTTTGGAGTCATGTTGTTATGTAGCAATAGATACCTCATACACCCACAATATCAACATCTATGAAAAGGCACTAATAAGATTTCTTTGAAAAGATTAGTTTTCAAAATACAAATTTTCCCTCCAGATGAAGACATTCTGAAAGCAAATGGTAGGAAACCAGCTCGAGTCAAATAGGAAACCTGTTTACTAGCACCTACAGATCATGCACTCAGATCTACAATGTAGGAAACTGTTTACCTGTTATACGAAAAAACAGAGCTCTGTCAAGAGGAAGCAAGATAGACAACAAAGTAAGAAAAAAATGATGCTGTCTCTTCTATTGCACATAATTCTTAACTTTCTTGCATGGGATAGAAAAATAACAAATAGAAACTTTCTATTACTGGGGAGAAACCATACTTCGACTGTTTATTTCTCCTAATTTCCTGAAGTCATTTAGAGATAGCCTGTGCCAAGTATATATCAAACTGAGGTCTTGTAAATCATTTTAAGAGTCAAACAATGTAAGCCAAATGAATATCCTATGTCAATCTTGCAAATAAAGACAATACATGAAAAGAAAACAAAGAGCAAAATGGGAAAATGTGCTGTTTCTAGAATCAGGATGTATTAAAAGCAAAAATGAAAGCCAAGTTTGTTTTCTTCCTGCTGGAGATAAAATTATCAATCTCCTGGAACACGTATGGTTTTTTTCTATGCATAAAGACACATGTCAATAACTCTCAGGAAAGTTCCCTCACTACACAGATTTTCACATTCCCATGCCAATTCCCATATGCTGTAAACTCAACTACTTTAAATAGCAATGTTAATATTCAAAAATCAGATACCATATTTCCAGAAGAGAGATCTGCAAATAGTAAGAAATGAAAGACTGAGTATCTGCAGACAGAACATCTACTTTAGACAAGTAACTTCCTGTGAATGTATTTTTCTCTGGGGACAAAGTATGCAATCAGAGTTTCATTCTGCATAAGAAAGTATGGTGCAAGGAAGCAAGAACTAGTATATACGTGCAAGGCAGGTGGCTTCATTGGTCCCAGAGTCAATATTGTTATTCTGTGATGTGAATGTTCATGTCCTTGGCTATATAACATGAACCAAATGGAGCATTAAAATAAAGAAATAAATTACAAAAAAAAACCCACAGATGACCTTTTATTTTTTATTTTTTAAGATTTTATTTATTTATTCATGAGAGACAGAGATTGAGAGAGAGGCAGAGACACAGGCAGAGGGAGAAGCAGGCTCCCTGCAGGGAGCCTGACATGGGACATGATCCCGAGTCTCCAGGATCACGTCCTGGGCTGAAGGCGGTGCTAAACCGTGGAGCTACCCAGGCTGCCAAGATAACCTTTTATAAAAAATAAATGGAAAAAATAAAAATAAAAATAAAAAAAATAAAAAATAAAAAATAAATGGAATTACACTCGTAGGTGTTAAAAAGGGCTTAAGTGGAAATGCTAAAAATAAGAATGCATGCATGAATAACCATGGTTTTTATACTTATTATTTCATTTATTCTCAGAAAAGAGAGAATTATGAATTTACTAGAGTTTTAGATGTTATCTGACTTCACTTTATGGTGAATTTAGGCAAAGCAATAAGTACTTTTTAATTTCCTCCCTGCCCTAAAATTACCCTCAATTACTTACATCTCTGTATCCATCCACCAGATTCCCAGAAATGTCTCCTGCTATGTCTCTACAACCAGCTGGGCAGAATTTGCTGGAAAAAGAAAATAATTTATATTTTATTAAATTATACTTAAACTAAAAAGTATTATACTTAAGTGTATTTTCTCTCCTCCATAGAACATGCAGGAGAGAATATGTTGTTTTATTTTTTAATTATTTAAAAAAAAATTTTTTAGAGATTTATTTTAGAGAGACAGTGTACACACACACATGAGCTGAGAGGGGAAGGGCAGAGGGAGAGGGAGAGAGGGACTCTCACGCAGACTCCGTGTTGTGCACACAGCCTGATGTGGGCTTGACCCCAGCACCCCAAGATCATGACCTGACATGAAATCAAGAGTCAGCCATTGAACCACCTGAGTCACCATCGCAGGCACCTCAGGAATATGTTGTTTTAATGACAGATCGGAAATCTGACTTGTGAAAACACAGACTAGTCTAAAATGTTAACTTGAAGGCAAGTTTTACACAATAATTATTTGCTTTATAAGGATTCATTATAAATTCGATCACACAATGAGGTTCTCTAATGCATCGTAATTGATTTTTTTTAAATTTTATTTATTTGTTCATGAGAGACACAGAGAGAGAGCGAGAGGCAGAGACATAGGCAGAGGGAGAAGCAGGCTCCACGCAGGGAGCCCAATGCGGGACTCGATCCCGGGACTCCAGGATCACGCTCTGAGCTGAGGGCAGGTGCTCAACTGCTGAGCAACCCAGGCGCATGAAATTGATTGAAAGGTGTCCAAAATATTTTTTTATTTGTATTTACTTTCTTAAAGTTTATTTATTTATTTTAGTAATCTCTGCACTCACCATGGGGCTCAATCTCATGACCCCAAGATCAAGAATTGCATGCTCTTCCGACTGAGCAACTAGGCACCCCTCCAAGATATATTTTTAAAAAAGAAAGTTTCTAAACACTATACATAGCATAATCTTGTTTTATAAAAAGATGTTTAAAACATATAAAATAACAACTTGGATTTTTTTATGAATATAAAGAAGACAGGAAGACTATCTCTGCATTCTCTTCAAGAGTAGTATTTTGAGAGACTTTCACTTTCTGTGCCATGTGACTCTAATATCTTGCTTCAGCCTCCTAGCACTATCCAACAGGAACTTAATGGAGTCCACATATATAAATTTAAATATTCTAGTTGCTACATTAAAAAGGCAAGAAGAAAAGGCAAAACTAACATTAATAATATATTCTAGTTAACACAATATAATCAAATTTTACCATTCTCCATATAATTAACAGAAAGAAACTGTCATCAAGATATTTCCAGCCTTTTTTCTTCTGTACTAAATCTTCAAAATCTGCAGTTTATTTTATACTCCTAGCACAGCTGACTTTGGACTAGCCACAGTTTAAGTGCTTGATAGCCACACACAGCTGGTATTAGATAGGGATGGTCTACATTAGTTAAAAATTACTTTTGCAATCAGAAAAAAAAGTATATATATATTTTTTCAGGTTTATTGTGGTAAAACTGAAAAATTGTAAGATATTTCAAGTGTATATTGTGATGACTGGGTATATATTACCCAGCTAGTAAATTAACCTATCCAACAACTCACATATGTTAATATATAGATATATATATTTAAATATATATATAATACATTTATTTTTGGCAAGAACATTTAAGTTCTACTCTCAGCAAATCAATTATACAATACAGAATTACCAGCTATAGTTATGGTACACATAGATTCTCAGACCTTATTCATCTTAGGGCTGCATACATCAATCAAAAACATGAATATCTCTGTATCAAACACATGACTAGTCATGTTAAGTCTAATACATAAAGACTAAATAGACTCCTTAATTTAGTTCCATTTTGTTGTCAAATGAATTTAGGGTTGCACTAATCAGGGTTGCACTAATCAGTTACAAAAACCTTATGACTTTTTTTTTAGATTTATTTATTTATTTGACAGTGAGAAAGAGAACCTGAGTGGGACAGGCAGAGGAAGAGAGAGAGAGAATCTCGAGTCGACTCCACGCTGAGCATAGAGCTGCAGCAGAGCTCGATCTCACGACTCATGACCTGAGTTGAAACTAAGAGTCAGATGTTTCACCGACTGCACCACTCAGGTGCCCCAAAACTTGTTGACTTTTAAAGCTTTCTACATTTCACAATTATAGATGAGGGAATGTGGACCTGTACTAGTCACCACACCTCATCTAATCTAAATACTACAGAGTGGCTGGACCAGGGCCTAGATGACCTGGCACCATAATATCACCCTGCAGGCCCGAGTATATTCTGTTCTGTAGGGAGACAGGAAATGACCACTGATGCCCAGAGATCCTATCACCACTGGGACTCTAGAGGTATGGCTAGAAAGATCTCAGAGAAAGTTGGCATATGTCCATAATGACAGAATGGCAACTGGGATGTCTGGGTAGCTCAGCGGTTGAGCATCTATCTCTGGCTCAGGGCATGATCCTGGAGTCCGGGATCAGGAACCACATCGGGCTCCCCACAAGGAGCCTGCTTCTCCTTCTGCCTGTGTCTCTGCCTCTCTCTGTGTCTCTCATGAATAAATAAATAAATAAATAAATAAATAAATAAATAAATAAATAAATCTTTTAAAAAGAAAGAAAGAACAGCAACTATACAGGGCAAAGATAATTATTGGTCATTTTTATTGTCTATTTAAGTTATTAGTCATTTTCATTTTTGTTTCTCTACTAGACTTAATATTAGTTAATGCTAGAATTGATTCTGCATGTAAAATAATCTCATTAGAATGTCTGAGTTGGTCAGGACCATGGACTCTTAGGTCTGACTCTGGGTATACTCATTAAGTGTGTAGCCCTGGGCAAGCCACTTAACTGCTTTGAGCCTCTCTTTTCAGGAATGACAGACCCTACCTTGCAAGCCTATTACAACATCGACATGAGTTATTTATATGCAAAGTCCAAGGAGCTATGACTGGCATTAAGACAGTGGTCTAAGGAGTTATAGCTGTTGTTACTAATGTTATGGACAGTCCTCTCTGGGCCAGTGGTTCTCAACAGGGAGTGGATTTTGCCTGCTCTGAAAGACATCTAGCAACATCTGGAAACATTTTTGGTTATCACAACTGGCACGTAGAGACCAGAGGCCAGGGATACCGGTGAATATCTAACAAGGCACAGAACAGCTCTTCACAACCAAGAATCATCTAACCCAAAATATCAATAGTTCCAAGGTTGAGAAATCCTGCTCTAGATGACTCTTACTTTATAGACAAGGAAATGTACATCCAAGAGATTAAGTAATTTTTCCAACGAAAGTAAAGCTGGGAATCAAAAATTTCACCTCCTATTCTCAGTAGGTTTTTCCTTTGTGAGAAAGAAAAACTGAAATCCCTCTGAAAGTGAAGGAATTACAAAAGTCACTTCCAAATGCTGGCCAGGTTAAAACACACACACACAAACACACACAAACACACACACACTCTAGACTGCACTATGGGTCACTGGTACCACAGTAGAACTCAGAGGTCAGCAATTACAGCTCATGGGCCAAATCCATGCTGCTGTTTATTTTTGTAAATAAAGTTTTATTGGAAAACAGCCACACATATTTGTTTACATATTGCCCTGTTTTTGCATTACAGCAGCACCAGAAACTATGCAAAAGAGACTGCACTGGCTGTAAACTCTAAAATATTTACTATCTGGCCCTGGACAAAAAGTTTGTTGAACTCTGCTATATTAGAAATTACTAAAAAAAAAAAAAAAGAAATTACTTCAAATATTCTTCATTGCTTGGAACAAAAACGATCTTTAAAAGATTAAATATAAATAGTATTTTATCTGGTTTAATGTGAAGGAATACAAAATGTCCAGCAACATATGCCTGTAGCACCGTATTTACCTGTATTCTGTCTTCAAATAATGGTTAGCTCGTTCCAAGCATGTTATTAAATCTGTCATAAATAAAGATAATTGCAATTAGAAGACTGAATGGAAGTTAAGACTCATGCTCAAAATTTTTAAAAATAATTTTAAATAAAAAAGGATTTTTAAAAAGCATTCACTATCTAGTTATTATCTGAATTTTTCCACTTAAAAATAAATCAAAACTGGGAACACTGTCTTCAGGATTTAACATTTCTCTTTTCCACCCCAACCATGGTTTTTCAGCAATCGTCCAGTGAATTTTAACAGAAACTACTTCAAACAGAAAAGCCAACAGTGGTTCATTACTATCCACCCACATGCCTGCAAAGATCATGTGTATAATAACCTTCCTTGGCAAGAGGAAAACAATTTCAAAAGCCTGACACGGTTCATAAAGAAGGTTCAGGAATATTTTAGTTTAACAATTTAGCTAGTAGCATCTGAGTGAGCATGGAACTACATATTTACTGAGAATACAGCCTTTCCACTTTAATCAGTCAGGACCAAGGACTTAAAAAGTGGATGCTCTTTGGAATACAGAACTGAATGAATGCTCAGCAATGGGCATGCTAAGATGCTGTGGATTTTAAAGCATTTAAATCAACCTAGGATAGTTTCCAAAATACTTCACACTTGCTGCAAGTAGTTCTTTCTTTCCTTAATATTTTCAGTAGTTCTTATGAAGCAACAGACGGTGACCACTGGCCATGCTGGGGCCTGCTGGGATTGGCCAGACTTGATTGGCTGAGAGGGAAACGAATGGTGCACCCCCTTTCCAGAGCATTTCTGCTCAGGGACACTGACAGCAGAAAATCTGGGCACTTCTGGGACTCTGGGCAGACATGGAGTGCACTGCACAGTAATCACTCTGGAACACAAGAGGCCGGGATGGGAGGCCATGCTTTCCTCCGTCATCAGTTTCCTGTTCAAGTGTTAGCTCCATGGTTAAAGCACACTGTGACAGCCCATGTTGATGTGAGCATATGTGGGGGGTGGAGGGCAGAGGGGGTACTGATTAAAAGGCTTGCCCTCTAAGCTGAGGAAGGTTGGGGGAGGACTCCAGAAAATAGCCAGACCTTAAAATCACCCCAAAGACACAAGGTTTCTAGAAAAATGAGATCCACCCTCTCCCACAATAGTCAGCTAATCAATCTAACATGTTTGATAAAAGTATTCTGAATTCTGATCTAACTGCTTACAAAGACTTGCATTCCTCTCTTCCTTCACATATTCTGTATCTGAGGTCGCAATTCTGTCCAGAGATGGTGATAAGTAGCAAGAGGAATTCTTGGACCCAAGTTTACAGATCTGTGTTGATTCTTCTACTATACCTGGATGGTCACTGCTGGCATAGGTCAGCAAAAATCCCCGCCCTGAAATGTGGGATCCACTTGCAAAGCGAACAGTGACTTCATTCGTGTTCAGTAGGAGTTCTTTGGGAACAGCCATACTTCCACAATACGGTCCTAAAAACAAAGCACACTTTTAGCACATTCAAAATTTAGACCAGCACAAAGGATTGATATATGGTGGGTTTTTTTTTTTCCTTAAAAGTCAAATTTAGCAGACAACACATATATACAATTATAATTGTTACTCAACAGAAATTTTGCTTAATATGGGAACTGATAATTAGTGCCTAAATGTAGACTTGATTATAGTGACAAGCCAAGGGGAGAAGTGGCTAATTCCAGATAAGCAATAGGCTAGAACTAGTTAATTATCAACAACCCAAGAGATAAGTTTTAGTTTTTGTAAAGAAGACTAACAAAGGTCGAATACATTTGGTAGTCAAGAAAATGTCACAAAAAAAAAAAAAAAAAAAAAGAAAATGTCACAAAGGTGATATTCTAGGGGCCTCCTAAATTTGCTAGAAGAAACTCACAAATTTTCTTTTTTTTGAGGAGGTTTTCAGAATTAAAAGACTGTCCAATGCATGCTAACAATCTTATTCTCATGCAGTTTACACATGAGAATAAGATTATTATTTCTCTCTTACAGTACCTTCTGGTTTATCTGCATAGTTTGTTTTGATTTGGAAAATAAAGTTTATAAAAAAATAGAAAAACACCAAAAAAAATAGAAAAACTTCTAAAGGCTTCTGAAATACTATAGTATAAATTATGCAATTAAGAGTATAACACACACACACACACACACACAAAGAGTATAACACATTGTTTCTAGAACAAATGAGTTGAAAAGCAATAGGAAGCTCCATAGGGATCCTTGGGTGGCTCAGCAGTTAAGCGGCTGCCTTCGGCCCAGGGCATGATCCTGGAGCCCCGGGATTGAGTACCACATCGGGCTCCCTTTATGGAGCCTGCCTCGCTCTCTCTCTGTCTCTCATGAATAAATATATATATATATATATATATATTTTTTTTTAAAGGAAGCTCCATAAATTTTCAAAGAACAAAATTAGATTTGGAACTAAAAAAGAAAAATAGACCTTCCTAAGACTACTCAAGTTAAAGTCTAGTTTGTAAATAGTCATCTTGAAAACCACATATGTAAGACATAATAATTCTAGGAAAATAGAGATTAGCAAGCAAATTTTGACAACAAGAATTCTTCATTAACTTCTCCCCAATAAAACACTATGGAAAGAGTCGTCTGCAACATCAGGCAACAGTCAACAGTGACAAAATCAGGTTAAGGAAGGAGGAGGAGGGAAAGAAAAAGGTCCAGGAGAGGGTCATGAACCCAACTAAGCATTCCTCTCCTGCTATAAGAACCAGATTTCTCTTTTGTCCTGTCCAGGTCTCACATGTGGAAGATGTAACCGAATAAAAGAGAAATGTAGAGCGTTTACCGTCATGCTTCAAATCTCTGTCGTTCCCTATTTTTAAATTATAGTGAAATCCAAATTTAAAAAGATGACTTACCTCTTTAGAGATACTCATTATATATAATTACTTACATATGTTAATACTAGCAAACTGCTTAGAATAGTAACCAGCAAATAATGAGAGCTGTGGAAGTGCTTAGTAGTTACTAGTAAATAGTTAAATAAATGACTACATTAAAACAAGCAAATAAATAATGTCTGTTTTCCTTTTAGACTGTGTTCCATAGGGTTAGAAATTTTTCTATCGATGGGCACCTGGGTGGCTCAGCCAATTAAGCGTCTGCCTTCAGCTCAGTTCATGATCCCAGGGTCCTGGGATCAAGCCCCATGTTGAGGCTTCCTACTGGGTGGGGAGTTTGGTTCCCTCACCCCTACTCCCACTCCTCTCCCTGCTCATGCTTGCACACACATTCTCCCTCTGAAATAAATAAATAAAATATTTAAACAAAGAAAAAAGAATTTTTCTATCCATCACTTTATGCCTAGCAGCTTGTACAATACCTGGCATGTGGTGGCCTTCCAAATATTGTCAGAATTGAGATGAAGTTAAATGTTCTTCTATTTAAAACACTTTTGAAAAGCCAAACCTGATTATAAAGATGTATAAAACATTTAATCTTGGCATTTTAAAATATCATGAAGTCAGGAAGAGGAATGTGAAAAAGCAAGACAGGAAAGAAAATCATTAGTGTAATAAATATACAGATGTTCAGGAAACTTTAATAGTGCTCACAGCATGGTAGAGAAACATTTTATACTAAATCCATTTTTATAGTAAAGTAGAATGATAAGCATTTTTCCAAAATTAAAGTGAGTCAGATTAGAAAATCATAGATTTTACGATTGCAAAACTCGTACTTGACTTTTGCAACTTAGTTTATTTTACATAGGTTTGAAAATTCTTTTGTTCTCTGCCCAGATAAGTGAAGATACTTGCTTTGCAAATCTAAGAATGAAAATGAAATAACTAGTAACTTGTTGCTATTGGCAAATCAGATATTTTTCTAATCACATTTATCTTTTCCAAGAGGAAATGATAATGTATATATATATATTCCTCTCCAAATGGTGATAATGATAATCTCTCCTCAAGTTTCCATAGCATTCCAATGAGTCCTAATAAAAACAGTGAGGTAAGCAAGTCTAAATTGATGATCAGTGAGAACTTGTTTGGATTTTTTTAGTTGAAATATATTTATATATATAACACTGTAAATTCAAGGTATACTTGAATTGCTTATTCATTTGATGAATAAGTCATTCATTCATATTCATTTGATACATTTTTATGCTTTAATATGATTCTCACTGCAAGGAATAATTAGCCACTCCATCATGTAACATAATTATTTCTTTTCATGGTTGGAGTAATTAGGTTCTAGTTTCTTAGCAAGTTTGGTGATTATACAGTTGGCCCTTAAACAATGTGGTGGTTAGAGGTGCCTATGCCCATGTAGTTAAAAATCCATAGATAAGTTCTGATTCCCCAAAAACTTTTTTTGAAAGATTTTATTTATTTTAGAGAGAGAGGGCGGCAGAGGGAGAGGAAAAGAGAGAATCTCAAGCAGACTCCCCACTGAATATGGAGCCCAAGGGAGGGGGGAGTGCTTGACCCTAGGACCTGGAGATCATGACTTGAGCCCTGAGCTGAAATCAGCAATCAGATGCTCAACCAATTGAGCAACCCAGGCTGCCCCCCTTGACTCCAAAAACTTCATGACTAATAGCCTACTGTTGACCAGAAGTCTTACTAGTAACAAAAACAGCACATATTTTGTATGTTACGTGTGTTATATACTGTATTCTTTTAATAAAGTAAGCTGGTGAAAAGAAAGTATTAAGAAAATCATAAGGTAGAGAAAATACATTTATGGTACTGTACTGTAAAAAATAATTCATGTTTAAGTGACCTGCATAATTCAAACCTGCATTGCTCAAGGGTCAACTTTAATTCAATACTGTTGTCTAATATAAATATATATATATATAGTCTATATTCACCACACTGTGAATTAGATTAGGGCATATCTGCTACTCATTGTAAGCTTGTACTCTTAAATAACATCAACCTATGCACCCCACCTCACCCCAATCCCCTGGCAACTATGCCCTTTTACTCTCTGTTTTTATTAGCTTAGCTTTTTTAGATTCCACAAATAAGTGCTGTCATACTGTCCTTGTCTTTCTCTGGCTGACTTATCTCACTTAGCATAACGCCCTCAAGGTCCATTCCTGTTGTTGCAAATGGCAGGATGTCCTTTTTTTCTCATAGCTGAATAATTGGAGTTTTTTCCTTTTGGATTTTTATGGAACAGTTGAAAGGAAAGGTTGCAACACTACATATATTTTACACAAAGAGATAAGAGTGCATGTCATCACACTAAGTTGTCATACAATACATATAATTTCCTACATCAAAAAAAACACACAAGTATAGTAAAACTCCAATTTGGTTGTATCCTCCCAAAGTCAGGATGGGAATGTAAATATTCCTGGAAGAAGTTCAAAGATAAAATGTAAACACACAAACTCCTTTAATCACCGTTTACACCCACCCCCACCCCCCAGGCACCAATCTCTCTCCCATTCTTTTTTTTTTTTTTTCTCTCTCTCTCTCTCTCCCATTCTTACCAAAGTACTGCAAAAAAATGTAACTAAACCCTGGAGGGGATAGGACACACCCTCTACATATCGACACAACATTAAAAGTTACTGGTTCATCATGGAACAACCATCATAATAGCAGGAGGCTGCAGTAGGCCAGCTTCTAGGCCAGAAGTCCAATGTTGGCTGTGGTATCGCCTACGGCCAAACATCTAATTATTTCCTGTCTGAAGGCCTGACGGATGGGTCCCTTTTCACAGAATGGAAGTTAATGACTGCATTCCTAGAGTTAAAAGGGAAAAGATGAAAATGGGAAAACATGAGTGGCAGTGAGAGGGGAAAAATAATGAATGGGAAAGCAGTGAAGGATCCGACTGGCCTGTCCCAGGCAATGTTGTCAGCTCTCAGCTGAACTCTGTTGAGGATTCTTAGCTCTTCTTATGAAACAGCCTTTCTCCACCCACGCCCGGCCACACAATGTACTTCACTGTTAGAACTCTCCAGCAAGGCTTCAAACAAGGCTCCACACTTAGATTCCTACATTCACAAAGACGATTCCGAAGGAAACCCAGATGACAGCTTGGTGACTTCTAACTCTGATCGTGGTCACGGCCACTTCCCAGGCAGTGTTCCTGGACTGGGAAACCTTTCTCAATTCACAGTCAGACGGAACCCCAGTCTTTCTAGGGAGGTGGGGGTGCGTCTTAAGAACTTCAGTAGACCCAAGCATAGGCCTCCCAGCTCCGTATGGGTGTCTGCTTCACAACCAGCAGTGCTGTGTGTCTTGCGGCCCTTGGACTTGCGAACTCCCACTTTCCATCTTACTTTGTCACCTCCGATTCCCATCAGGCTGGGGCACAGCGGAAAGGCAGTTCATCAAGCAGGCAGACAAATCGGGGCAAAAGAAATACCTCTACCTTTTGTGAAACATCATTGGTAGCCCTGGATTGTGGGAAGAGCTATGAGTGATACCAAATGGAATGGCACTGTGGCATTTGGCACCAGACATGA